TGAGGAAGCCCCTATTCCACTCATCGCAGTCGAGCCCCTCCTGCCAGCAACCAGCAGTCGTCCCGGCCCTGCGTTTGAGATGGGAGAAGGGGTCTTCCACATTCCTGTTATTGGCAAGTATGATCAACCGACGAATATATTATCGCCTGAAAGTATCTTGGTGGGGGCGACCCCGGCGTAGTGGTTAACATCCTTACCTCTCACGCCAAAGTCACGAGTTCAAATCTCACCCCCGGACAAGTCACGAATGACCCAAGAGTGTTAAAGTGACTATAATAAAAAAAAAAAAAAAAAAAAAAAAAAAAAGTATCTTGGTTTCCAGTGGCCCTACTCGAACATCCTTCCTCCGTCAAGTGACATCTACCAGCTCCCAAATGCAACTACACGCTGAACCTTCCATTGTTCCCGAACAGCGGAGGTCAGACATAACGATTTACTATCAGAACGTTGGCGGTATGAACGGCCTCGTGGCAGATTATCATCTGGCCGTCATGGATCACTGCTACGACATTTTAGTTTTGACCGAAACATGGCTCAATTATCGAACCATTTCAAACTATGTCTTTGGTGCAGGCTACGAAATATTTCGCTGCGATCGAAACACGAATAATAGTAGGAAAACTACTGGGGGAGGCGTCCTTATCGCAGTTAATTCCAAGCTGAAAGCAGAAGTTATCGAGGACGATTCCTGGAACAGGGTTGAACAAATGTGGGTGGCTATTCAACTTGGTGATCGTCAATCGCTTCTCTGTGCAGTGTACATTCCTCCAGATCGAACCCGTGACTTGGAGCTTATTGACGCACATTGGCGATCCGTCTTGGCCGCTTCAGACAAAGCAGGCCCTTCCGACGAAGTTATTGTTCTTGGCGATTTTAACCTACCGGACATTGCATGGACTCCAACCCATAGTGGTTTCTTTTGTCCTGATCACGAGCGTTCATCTTTCCACGTAGGAACCATCCAGCTCCTGGACATGGACATGGCCTGTTGAATGAAAACAACCGCACCCTGGATCTCTGCTTTGTGAGTGCTCGTGATACAGCTCCTTTCCTCTCCACGGCACCCAAACCTTTAGTCAAGGTAGTGCATCATCACCCTGCTTTAGTTATCGTGATCGAAAATAATATTGTCCATGATTTCACCAGCCTCCAAACGCTGTGTCATATGACTTCCGTAGAGCTGACCATCGCAGTATCGTCCATGTGCTGTCTAACCTAGATTGGGAGCATATTCTAGATCCTGTAGACGTCAACATTGCTGCACAAACCTTTTCTCATGTCTTGGCATATGTCATTGACAGACACGTTTCCAAAAAGATCATCCATATCGACTCTCGCGTCCCGTGGATGACGAAAGATCTTCGCTCGTTGAAAAGAACTAAGAAGGCTGCTCTCAGAAGATTTACTAAACTCCGCACACTGCCGCTGAAATGCTACTATGTCAGACTGAACCACGAGTATAAGCGGTTAAGTCGTCTCTGTTTTCAACGCTATCAAAGGAGGATTCAACGGCGGCTAAAATCACACCCGAAATCCTTCTGGAACTTCGTAAATGAGCAACGCAGGGAAGTCGGCTTACCCTCTTCCATGATTTTTAATGGTGAAACTGCTGGAAATCAAAAAGACATTTGCAACCTGTTCTCAGCCAAATTTGCTAGTGTGTTTGTAGCCGAGCAACTCTCCGCTAATATCATTACTTCCGCGGCCAGTAATGTTCCTTTGATCAACCAAACGCTCAGCATGGTCGAAGCCACTACAGATACGATTTCTAGCGCAGCATCTAAACTTAAGACTTCAACTAAGGCTGGACCCGATGGTGTTCCGTCGATTATTCTTAAAAAGAACATCACTTGTCTTTTAGATCCACTGCGCCGCATATTCCAGCTCTCTCGTTCCAGCGGCATCTTTTCGTCTTGCTGGAAGACTGCGGATATGTTTCCTGTTCATAAAAAGGGAAGCAAACGCGACGTAAACAACTACCGGGGAATCACGTCGCTGAGGGCTGTATCAAAACTTTTTGAATTGGTTGTCATAGAGTCCCTAAATGCGCATTGCAGGCAATATCTAAGTACAGATCAACACGGATTCATAACTGGGCGTTCCACAACTACGAACCTGCTGTGCCTAACGTCTTACATCACAGACAGTTTGATTGCTCGGACCCAAACGGACGTTATCTACACAGATCTTACGGCAGCCTTCGAAATGCTGAACCACGAAATTGCGATCGCTAAGCTTGATAGGCTAGGGATCGGTGGAAATCTTTTGAGATGGTTTCGTTCATACCTCACGGAGCGCCAATTGACAGTAACTTTGGGTACTTGTCGCTCAGCAAGCTTCTGCGCAAAGTCCCGTATACCTCAGGGCAGCCATCTGGGACCATTGGTATTTCTCCTCTACTTCGACGACGTTCACCATGTTATCACAGAGCCACGATTATCGTTTGCAGACGATCTGAAAGTTTTTCTGCGCATCCGCTCACTCGCCGACTGCCGTTCTCTCCAAAATCAGATTGACATCTTTGCTGACTGGTGTAGTCTAAACCGACTGGTGGTCAACCCAGCTAAGTGTACAGTTATTACTTTCTCACGCAAGAAACAACCGATTATTTTCAACTACAAACTACTAGGCACGACTATCGAACGGTGCACTGCGTGAAAGACTTAGGCGTTTTTCTAGACTCAAAGCTGACATACTCACACCATATATCGTATGTTGTCTTCAAGATTACTAAGAACTTCACGGACATTTACTTCTTGAAATCGCTCTATTGCTCTCTCGTACGATCTACGTTGGAATACTGCTCTGCTGTCTGGAGCCCGAACTACAATAATGGGGCCGAGCGAATTGAATCTGTTCAACGACGTTTTCTTCGCTTCGCGCTCCGTAAGCTGCCTTGGAGATACCCACTTCGTCTTCCAAGCTACGAGAATCGCTGCCAATTGATCAATATCGAGCCCTTACGTATCCGAAGAGATGTTTTCAGAGCCTTAACCGTCGCCGATACTCTGCAAGGAAGAATCGACTGCGAAGCAATTCTGCAACAAGTGAACATTAATGTTCAACCTCGATCACTACGCAACAGTCTTATGCTGAGACTTCCACTTCTTCGAACTAATTATAGCATAGGGAGCGCTATTTACGGCTTGCAGCTAGTGTTCAACCGAGTAGCGTCGATGTTCGATTTCCACTTGACACGGAATATGCTTCGCCGAAGATTCTCTGCCTTTTTTGCTGACCGAAGGCGCTTGATGCCCAACAGCTAAGTGTAAAATTTAATTTTTAGTAACTTGACAATGCTTTCCTAGTTATTTTCGTTTGTAACTGTAGTAACTGTGGTATATGTATGTCGCCTGTATAGTCTGTACTTTTTTTACAACACATCATTGGGACTATTTCTAGTCTGTTGATGCAACCATAACAAATAAACAAATAAGCTGTCCATTAATGTACATCTGATGAATTTTGCTACCTGTTTCCTTTTTTGTTCCCGATCAACACTGCGATGACGGCCTCGACTGATCCAAGGACAACTCCATGCCATAGGACGAGGTTATTTTTTATGATGAAGACCATAGTATTATTATTATTATTCGGTGTTTATTTTTATAATTGATGGGTTTTTCTGTCCTTTTTATATTGTTCCTTGTATTTTGAAAAGATATGGGATTTTTACGCCTATTTGAGCAAATATTTGCCAAATAGGCTTTTCCCCATCAGTCTTCATTTAGACAACAAAAGTCCGATGAAGAGAATAATAAATAAATAAAGAAGAATAATCTATCTCTGAATACATACAATGACTAATTCACTTAAAATTATTTCTTCGCTTTCTCAACTCAACTGCCCAGAAAATCCACCAGACCACGCACCTTCATTACAATACTGCAAAACTATGGAGACGCACGGTACTCAACGATCACATTACAACCCCATAACGGCTTTTTGCTTCTTCTCCCTTAGCCGTAATGTGAAGCCTATATTGACTGTTTTTCGGGCCGATGGAGGAAAATTTGTAACTGAATGAGATTGAACCTAAATTTTATAGAGAAAGTAATGAACAATCCATCTCACCAATCCACTCGCGGTCGGGGAAGCAAACTGCAATAAGGAAAAGAAACGAGGACCCAAAACAACACACTGAAAGTAATTACATTTCATAGCATAGTTTAAGACAGATCAATTAGAGGAGAAGAGAAACTTATATAAATAAATGTGCAGCAGAATAGAACGAAACAATCCAAAACCGGAGGTGGTCTGTAACCATACAGAGAGGGGGAGATTTGTTGTGCAGTTAATTGCCCGCATTGAGATAAAGGAATTGCAAGAAGGAAATAAACCAAGTTCCAATAAGCTTAGCGTGCGAGAAAATTAAAAAAAAACCGATGCCCTGTACCTAACATTTAACATTGGAATTTAAACCAACAACAACTGAACTCCATAATAGTCGGGCGCTTTCGTAGTAAAGCACCAAACCCTCCAGCCCGTAACCCACTCAAACTCTCTTCTTCCCTCGCCATGAGCTTGCAACTGTTTTCGAGCTGCACCGACAGAGTATTGTTATAGACGTATTGAATCAGAGCGAAAGTGTCGTTTGTATAGGCTTTAATCTTTGAGATATCCTGTATATTTATTTTTCCCCCGAGGCAGAATGAGACAGAGAACCAATCATCCAAATGAAACCAAAGCAGAATATTGTGTAGACACAGACGACTTGCAGTAGCGTGTCTGTTTTCCATTATGTAGGTTACAAGTAAGCTCATCTCATGCTTGCTAGCTGGACGGCTGTCGGTAGAACCGGGGCAGCCGGTCCGGCAAAGTAGATCATGTCCCCCAGGAGACTATGTAAACGATGTATATCAGAAACCCAACCAGATAATATATAGATGAAATATATACATAATTGTACTTTCTATCGAGTTTTGTTAAGCTAAAAACGTGTCCGAAAAGAAAAACTGTTCGGAATGTCTGACATTTCTACTTCCATCACCGCATCATCTCGCTTACATCAAACATTTATTACGAAAATCTATAAATCAACCGGCTTCTTCCTTTTACCCGCCGTCTCATCCTCACTGACAATCAGCGGAACAACGAGCGTTCGATTCTTGGCCTGCTTCAGCGTCCACCATCGCCCCAACCGATGTTCCTGTCCCACACAAACGATCAACTGCTTGCCGTCGTTGCTGAACGTGAGTGCATTGACAAATCCTTCCACCGGTACTTCCATCAACGGTTCAATCGTCTTACTAGCTCCAATCAGCCTCCAAACGCGTACGAAGCCATCGCACGATCCGGAAGCGATCACATCCGTGTTCAGAAGCGACGCGATGGCACTTATCCAATTCGCCTCCCCATTGGCCGTCTTCCCATGGGCAAACTGAACCGTACTCTGGGGCTTTTTCTTGCCGGAACTCCAAACCGATAGGGAACCATCAATTCCACAGGTCACGAAATGTTCGTTGCCGATCAACTTGACGCATTCGACGCTATCCGTGCTAGGATGACAGTTGTACACCAACTGCGATTCTTCCACTATCTTCCAGATGCGAATGGAGCAATCGCTTCCCCCGGAAGTAATGCACCGTTCCCGGGACAGGGCATCAATGCTGGTAACCGGTGTTTGATGACCGTATCTACAATCACAATAACAGACAATTAAAATCACCAAATCAGTCAAACCCACACCCATAAACTTACAATGTCTCCACGTAGAGCATCTCATCCAGGGACCAGACCTTCACCGTCCTATCCTTGGCGCACGAAAACAACTGATGGGTATTCTTCCGAAAAACCACCCCGGTAACAACGTCCGAATGCCCACTCAACGTATTCACCGGTGCCAGTGTCGCTCCGTCCAGCACCTTGATCTCATTGGTTCCATCGGCCACTGCCAAAAACTTCAAATCGTGAGAAATGGCCAACGCAAAAACTGCCGTCTTCTGAGCCTTTGTCACCGCCAACCGTCCCCGCTTGGCCAGGTCCCACCGGACAATGATACCATTCTTATTCGCGACGTACAGAAACCGATCGTCGTCAGTCAAACACAGACACGTCGGCGACAGATGCTGCTGCTTGTATCGCAAATTCACCGCCCGTTCCATATCGAATCCAGTGTACCGCGAGGACACCTCCCGGTACAATCTGCCTATACTCTCCAGATAATCCTCCTTCAGGACCGCGGTGACGCTGTCGTGGATATCTCCATCTTCTTTACGCGCCCGCTCCGCTTCCTCTACTTCATTCAGATACTTTTTGGCCAATCGCAGCCGCTTGTCTTGGGCCGTTTCCGTGAATACCTCATCCTCGTCTTCAAAGTTGAACTGCTTGCCACTGGCAACCGCCGTCTGTTCCTCCTCCTCATCGCTGTCGATTTCCTCCTCGGATTCGTCCTTTTCTTTACGTCCTAAGACTTCCTTTTTCTTCTGTTTTGGTTGCGGCTTCTGGAACTGGAACCGAAAATAAAAAAAATACACATTAATCGGTTCAAATAAACGAAGAAATCGAAAGCTCCAATACCTTGCGCTTCGGAGCCGTCCGGGGCTTCCCTTTCAGGAAAAAAGATGACATTTTAGCGCTGGATTGTAAGGAAAATCGAAGAAAATTATCTCGGAAAACTGAACCAACGTGCAAACCGGACGATCAACAACACAACATGTGCTGCGAAGTGCGAGCATTTTGTTTACCGTCAAATGACAGTTGTGTGGTGAAAGCTGTGAATAAAACAGGGTGAACAGTCAAACGGCGTCTTGCTTTCGCCACCTACATTTCGAAGTGAGAACTGTTAAATGGATGATGGTTGCAGAATACTCCAAGCACAGAGAACAGACGTTCAAGTTCGGTCAGAAACTTGTGTAAAATAAGTGGGAACGTCGCCGTTACGTGGTGTTAGCATCTCCTGATTTTCTCTATAAATTTTCCACTTTTGACCAATTTGGCGCTAGTATTGATAAATTTTCTGTTGAAAATTGCCACTTGGCGCTACTAGCACTTAGTGTCTAGTGTAATTTGTACAACGCCAGCGCCATCATGTTGTCAAAGAGGGTTTTTAAGTGGGGAAGTCGCCGTTATTGGCGCTTAAGTCAAATAGGAATCTTTACTCAAGTTTTTAGAGAAATTTTGTTCGAGCCTCTATGTCTGTTCTCTGTGAGAATACTCCAAGGGAAACAGGCGATTTTCGGAGAAAAGCGTTCCATACACGATGTTTCGCGAAAACACCCATATCCGGTAAAAGTGGCCCTCCTCATTTAATGGGTAAACTATGGTTTACTCATTAATGTGTAAATGGGGGATCTGTCAATAAATGGGTGTTTTTTTACCAATCTTCTTATATGTATTGTGTTTTTCGTAAAATGGGTACAAAAATATCCATTTCTTCAAATAGAGAATGCTGGTACTGGGTTATTTGTCCTCGTTGATATAAAAAACTTTCTAATATATACATTGAAAATAAATACAGGTGTAGCGAAAAAAAATTATTACAGAAGATATTATAATACAATGTTGGATAAAACTGTATAGACTTATCTGTAAATCTCTCCAATGTTTCGGAATCTAACCTTTTCCGGAGATCGTCCATTTTTGCTAAAAAAAAAAAGCGGACAGAAACTTTTTGCATTCCCAATGGTCGATGACGGAATGAGACGATAAAATTTCCAAGTGTTTTTTCACCCATTAGTGGGTAAACAATATACCGAGGGGCACGCACTACCCGAAAAAAAATTACAGTGAAATTTTCAGTGGAAACAATGCTCTAACATTAATATTTATTGTCGACAATAAAAATGATTGTTATAATGTTGTACCCTTCCGAAAACGGCAAAACTGCTACCTAGCTGTACAATGAATGTACATAATAAAATGTTGTTACAATGATTTTTATTGTATTTTTCATTTATTTTATTGTTAACATGATTCGATCACGAACAATAATGAACAATTCTATTACAATAAAAAATGTTGTTACATTAAATATTGGTGTGTTTTCATTGTGGGTTACTTCACGAACAATAAAAATAAATCTGATTGAAGCATGCAGACTATGAGAGGGTCAGCAACACTGCCAATGTAATCAAGATAGGCGCTGCTCGTATGGCTCTTGCTTTGACAGTTCGTTTGGCTCTATTCGTTGCCAAGTCAATTGAACGCCTACGACCAGATCGGTTTGAGTTGAACTCAACTCTCCTGCCTCATCTAAATCCCGCTTAATGCAGACCTTTTCCGTACAGTCAATAATCATACAATAATAATAAAAAAATCCACCACTTGAAGATGTCAGGAATTAACTCTCAGGTGGAAGCATATTTTCATGGGCGATTCTCTCCAGTTGAATGCATTAACTTATCAACGACGCTCAACCACCAAGGAGACGTGACCTAGAGAGATCGAGTGCAGGGGAGTTGGCTTCCATTTCTCACAAGTTTCGGATCGAATCTCAATCCATAACCAGTAAAAAAAAGGACTCACCCGTAACAGACATTACCACCCCCTTCCCTCCCCGGAGCGATGTTTTATTTTTTCGATTTATTTTTAAAGTCGATAAAGTAGATCTGTCAAGCCAACACATACACTCTAAAGTACACTGCTATTTTTTTTAATCAATAAATTCGCCAACCAACAGTAAAATAACAATAATATATAATGCATAAGGACTTGTTCAAGGACAAATAGCTCAAGAGATATTCCGGAATTATTTGAAGTGCTAACATGCTAACGGTATCCCAACTACCGCAAGGTTGCCATCCACCGCTCACGTAGTCTTGCTTTACCTTCCTTTAGAATCCTTTCGACAAGCAATTGCGTCTTCCTAGGAGCATGAATGGTGATCTTACGGTGATTCCAGTATATCTCTGGAACCATGTGTTGAGCCTGCTTGAATCTTTACTAGAAGATATTTTTGGAACCATCTAAAAACTTCACCCCATTTCAAAAACCACATGTGAAAAGGGCACACAAGTCTTCTGTGGCTTCTCTCGTCACCCGACAACATCACATATGATGGGACCGCGAGAGTCAAGGCATGCGAAACAGCGCACGGCGATGGCGCCCTGAGAGAGCGCATTGAGATGTTTCAATGAAACAGTCGCATGTGATGGAATGCATGCGTCGCATTGAGAGAGCAATGCGATGGAACAAAAAAAAAATTGAAACGCTCGAATTTGTTGAGAGCGTGTAGCTTGTCGCGCGCATCGTTCTGGTCTCTCTTTTGTACAATTAATGTAGCACACCATGGATTTGAGAGTCATGCGACGCTCCGTCTCACAGCTCGCTGTCGCATTTGTGTACGCGTGAGATTTCCGGAAGCCTGATTGAGGCTCGAACAAAATTTCTCTAAAAACTTGTGTAAAGATTCCTATTTGACTTAAGCGCTACTAACGGCGACTTCCCCACTTAAAAACTCTCTTTGACACCCTGAAGGCGCTGGAGTTGCACAAATTACACTAGACACTAAGTGTTGGTAGCGCCAAGTGGCAATTTTCAACAGAAAATTTATCGTTACTAGCGCCAAATTGGTAGAAAGTGGAAAATTTATAGAGAAAATCAGGAGATGCTAACACCACATGACGGCGACGTTCCCACTTATTTTACACAAGTTTCTGACCGAACTTGAACGTCTGTTCTCTGTGGTTATGGTTTGTTTTTACCTAAGGGTAAGACAGCTCCTAATCATGAGAAGTTTTAGAGTTGCTTTTGAGGCACCTCGAGTAACTCACATTGCTCAGTGAGCAAGATCACTGTCATTTGCATTCTCATTTTTGAAAGATGCGAAGCCGAAAAGCTGCTGTCAAGCAAAACAACAGCAAAAAAACCGGCTTGTTGTGGTAGAAGAACTCAATACACCTGACCAAATACTCCAGATCCGGCTAGATAAAACTACGATCGTGAATTGGGCCGTTTTCTGCGATACACCACCAAGATTCTCCGGATGAGGATCGTACTCACCGGAAATATTGGGAGCTGTGTCTTCATCGTCTTCCTCCTCTTGGACTTCAGCAGTGTGTTCAGCTGTGTTGATGCTCTGGCTGAACATTCTGGGGTAGTTTTTATCCAACAGGGAAGATATTTCTTATGTATGCCAGTGATTTCGCACAACGATTGCACGTTCTCCTCGGTGGACATCTGAAAACAATTCCTGTGGTTATTTTATGAGAACAAATAGTATTAATTCACATTCAACGTTTTGAAACGGAAGAATTCAATAACAGGAGCCAATCGGCACAGAGAAGCAGATGGAAATCCACGCCAATGCGCTCCCTTTCAAAGCTTTTCCAGCATCGTTCAAGCCATTTTATGAACAAAATCTGGAATTCACATCGTTTAAATAGCCGAACAATTCTATTTTGTTAACAAACAAGACTTAGGTATAATATGAGAAAGGTATAAACGGAGTAAGCCAAGCAGCAACCAGACAAAAACATCGATGAACGTTGACTAAACTTTGAGGTACAGTGAGTTACTCACGAGTTACTCGCTGCAAAAAAGCAACTCAGAATGAAGCTGTCTCACCCCTTGGCCAGCGCCATCAGGTTCAAGGGGGGCGACACATCGAAAATGTCGTTTACCCCATAAAAAAATCCTCCCGATTTTCCCTTCGACTAAATCGGTTCACGTCGGTTAGATCGACCGACTATGAAACCGACGTATTTATAAATTCAGTGCTAACATTTGAAAACGGCGCAAAAGCCATTTGTAAACAAATGGTTTGTGGGCCCTTTACTCGCTACCCGAAGAACGCCCACGCAAACCAACAGCATCGTCAGGAAGGGGAAAATTTCCCCTACCCGATGTTGCTGTTGTGTCGCGTGGGTGTACTTCAAGTAGTGAGTAAAGGGCCCACAAACCATTTGTTTACAAATGGCTTTTGTGCCGTTTTCAAATGTTAGCACTGAATTGTTACATCGACTTTTTTAGGACTGCTTAAGGGGAGGTTGCCGACGCGTCAGCACACGAAATCGGTAAATAAGTGTGATTACATTAGCAAAAATCACCTTCTTAGCGGCCCTCGATGGTACTGTAAAGTAACGAACTGTCAGTTTGTTAGTTTTGTGTCAAACAGTGAAGTGATTATTTTGCTTTAAATCTTGATTTAAAAATTGAGATGGAAGTAAATGGGATCGAAAAAATATCGTTGTATTCAGAAAACGACACCCTTTCAGATGATGTATGAAACTCGACATGTTTTTCAAAATTAAAGAACCCAATTGTTTCTTCAAATAAAATATACTAAATCTACATACTTATTACGCCAAGTACTCCACCTGCTTGCCATTGTAAGATTTAAAAAAAAAAACAAAAATATTAATACTTATTATACTTACCAGGTTGTAATGACATTTAATAATAAAGTTGCACTCACTTAGTCTAACCTGTCTAGTCTAAGTTACCTCTATGGTGTAACTGCCACTGTGTAATCACTACGTAAACCTACTTCGTCTGTAATACGTACAATAAAATAAACACCGATAAAAAACATACAATTGCCAGATTTTACAATAGATAAAATCTATGGCTGTCGGTCCCTGAGGTATCCGATTTAATACATTAACGAATATGTTAACAAAAATAACTAGTGTACTAATCCCGACGTTGTCGGTTTATTAATAGGCCTTTTTTGTATACAACCGATTTCGCCGGTCGACAGTGAAATTCCCCATCTGTCAAATTTTTTATGGGGTAGCTTCAACTCTATTTACATATGATTTTCTTGTTCAGTGTACATTTGCAGGATTCCGTTTCCTACCGTTTTCTACTGTTTGCTGGCATCTATATTTTTTCGATGCTGCAGTAGATAGAAGTCGATGGCGATAGGTACGGAATGATTTTTCATGAAAAGAAGGTGTGTGTGTCAATTCATTTGCTGCTAACCCGCATAAACGCGAACCATAAATTGACCTTACCTAAAATGGTTAAAAATTGGTTGCCTGTTATTTACTGATTACCAATTCACGATATTCCACGTAAAGTTGAGCGATAATACAAAACCATTAATGGACCTTACTGACTACCATAACCATTGCCATTAATGTTATCAAATCATAAGTAAAAACGTTCTTATATAGTTCTCTTTCTGAAAATGTATGGAGAAAACAAGAATTTGGAATGGTAATGGTTCTTAACAACCCATTATTTGTAAGGTCCAGTTCCAAAAAACCATAATACATAAGGTTGAAACTTTATCATTAAACGTTTATGTAAAGTTCCATAACCATTTCAGTTAAAGTTTAGCAGAGATTATAAACAATTTTTAACCATTTTAGGTAAGGTCAATTTATGGTTCGCGTTTATGCGGGAAGTAGACACGAGCCAACATATGCTTGAAATTAGTGAGCTTGCAGCTCTGAGGTGCCACGGTCTAGAACAGTATGTTTCTTGGAAAGGGAGAGGATTATATATACCGTAATAAAATTGGCATATTTCAAAACGAATAAATACTCGGAAATAATCAATTTTATGAGCAGCATACAAACTTTTGTATAGTAGGGGAAATGGATGTTATGTCGGCCTAAATGCCCCTAATTTGGGCCCATACAAAAATTCAGCAATCGTCTAAATTTTCAATAGCGACCAAAAATATCCATTTGTACCGTTCTAATGACGCGTTCATCTAGATAAAATTGATAAATAGCAGATTTTTAGGGATGAAAATGAAATGGTTTAAACTTTTGGGAAATTTCACTCCTATATTCCTATAGAAATGTGATCTATAACTTTAATTTCAATAGAAACCCTAAGAAAACAAAACTGTTAAAACGTTAGTACCTAATTATTCAATTCTTTCAATTTAAATTAAATTTAGGTAGGCATACACACTTAAATCTTTTCGCTGAGATTCCAACAGCCGAGTATTTCTGCAATTTATTTAGCTGAGATTCAGTAAAACAATTGCCGAGACTCAGATAACAAATAACATTTTGCTGAGATATCAGCTAACAAACAGATGTTTTGCAGAGATATCAGCAAAAGTTAATGCCGAGGTTATCGGCTGTTGGAGATTTTACCGAGCTAGATTAAGTGTGTACATAATTCAGCCGAGTCCAAGGCCGTAGTTTTCAACGCTTGTTACAGCTTGTTTTGCAGAATGGCTTCGTGGGGCGGGATGTACCATATAGAGATACAGGTGTTGTCAATCAGGCTAGTTGGTTTATATAACACATATGTTATCGATAGGAAACCTTCAAAAACTAGAAGGCTGGTGATCCAGTACAGTAATAGACCTAAGTGGATGGGAAGAATTGTGGATTAAAACTTGCGCTTTTCCATGAATAGAGCATTTTACGAGACATTTCTGGTTAAATTCATGAATGAACGCATAAAACTCTTGTAAATGTTTGAAGTAAACCTGCTGACCGAGAGTACGTGCCGCTACAGGAATATCCGAAGAAATCCATGTTAAAGTAAACAAGCCCGGTCAAACCGTGAACGAAATACCGCAACCTATCAGTTGCTGGGGGTTATTCCGAGAGTCGAAGTGACTTTTGTCACTTGTGAAGTGGGAAAAATCACGTCGTGGTGACGTGACTCTCTGTGCAAATCAAATTAAGAGTCACGTCACCACGACGTGCCTTTTCTCACTCCATTAGTGACAATAGTCACTTGGACTCTCGGAATAACCCCCGCTGGCTGACTTTGATTAGAAATATGCCAGACATTTACGACCATTGCGTTTCTTATTGTAGAACCCTAAACTTGTGAGACCAGAGGCAGGTTACAAAGCGGAATCACGTCGTTCGGAGGAATTAAGCAGCAAGAAAAACACGGAACAATCGGAGACGATTAAAAAGCACGCGGCGTCCTTGCGAATCGTTTATTGACATTAATATAGTTCAAAGAGTATGAAAAACAAGGTAGCATTTAGTAGTGCGCGATCTCGCGCTAGAAACGGTGAATGATAGAGGGGTGCACCGTTGTATCGCCTAACACTCCTCCTCAACGTAATGCCCTCGGTCAGTCGCCAGTCCGATCATCTCAGCAAAGCGGTTGTGCTTCACCGCCCCAAGCGGCTTCGTGAGGATATCTGCCTTCATCAATTCAGTGGGGCAGTACTTCAGGTTTACCACACCACGCTCAACCAACTCATGGATGAAGCACTGTTTAGTCTCGATGTGTTTAGACCTTTTACTAATTCTCTCTGACTGCACAAAGCTCAAACACCCTTGATTGTCTTCGTACACCAAGCACAGAGAACAGACATTGAGGCTCGAACAAAATTTCTCTAAAAACTTGTGTAAAGATTCCTATTTGACTTAAGCCACAGAGAACAGACATTGAGGCTCGAACAAAATTTCTCTAAAAACTTGTGTAAAGATTCCTATTTGACTTAAGCGCTACTAACGGCGACTTCCCCACTTAAAAACTCTCTTTGACATCCTGAAGGCGCTGGAGTTGCACAAATTACACTAGACACTAAGTGCTGGTAGCGCCAAGTGGCAATTTTCAACAGAAAATTTATCGTTACTAGCGCCAAATTGGTCGAAAGTGGAAAATTTATAGAGAAAATCAGGAGATGCTAACACCACATAACGGCGACGTTCCCACTTATTTTACACAAGTTTCTGACCGAACTTGAACGTCTGTTCTCTGTGCTTTTACTGCAATCTTCCAATTGGAAGATTGCCGCAAAAGCTCAACGCAGATGTCGCCACTGCATGATGATGATAATGTTGACAGACTGCATATAAAATTCGTGAAAGTTAGCATTAAATCATAATTTTCATCAAGCCTGCGTGAAATCCTTCCAATATAACATTCGAATTGAAGAAGAAAACGTTTTTACGATCAGACTGATGTGCAGCTTTGACTTTTCCAGGTGAACTTTCATAAGATATATTCATTTCATTTCACGGCTCCATGAATGCTGCATCGTAAATATGATGGTAAACAGAAGTAAATTGCTCAATTACACAAAATAAAGATGATTTGTCATCTTGTTATCACTTTGAAGACCATCTAGCACTATTTTATAGTATGGTGCGTGTTGAGTAAATCAAGCTCCGGTGCATTTTTCGTCAAAAATTGTGAGTATCATTATGTTTGCTTAAAAAAGGCCAAAATGAGCATTTATTGAATTTTGGCGTCCCATACAACCAATTCTCAATTACCACCAGCATGATACAACCTTTCCTAAGTAAATTCACTTAATTTCCACTTTCATCTTAGTGAAAATCGCACATATTAACTATTTTCTGAAAAATGCAGCTGCGCAGGAGGTAACCTCTCCCTGTGGGTGCAAACTTGTTATGCATAATTTGCCATGAAAACAACTCCGATCCATACCGAAATAATAACAAATAGTTTTCAAACACGTTTCACGTAACACGATTCAAGCAAAAGTTTCCACGGGAAATTATTAGTTTTTCTTTATGGACCAATTTGCCCCAAAAAGCGTCTGTTTTACTTGGAAAATTTGGAATCTATCCTCCTTCTAGTAGTTCTCACTTCGAAATGTAGGTGGCGAAAGCTTGGAAAAGTTTCACTGCAAGCCGCCAATAGAGAAAATCAATGTTTTCTGATGAATTTCAATCAAAATATCTCCTGAGTCCATCATGCGCCATCTTTCTATCAGAACAGGTGACATACATTTCTGATCTCCGGTAAAACTGGCATCCCGGTCGAAAACTGCTTATCAGCTGTCATTTAACGGACGTCGAATGACAAATATTGCGACTACGACAGCAGAAAAAAAGTGGAAAGTAGAGTGAAAAATCGAATCCAGGGAAAATAGTTCTGTGCAATCGGGTTTTCTTTCGAATTTGTAGCAATTTTCCTTCAGCGGTGAACCTTCATCAATGCGCTAATCGCCAGTAACAATCGGAATCTAATAATGAAATCCCTAGCAGTGCCCGTAGCCCTGGGCTCGGTGCTACTGCTGTTGTTTACGGATTGCTCCGACGGTCGACGGCATCATCTGGAAGTGCGGGTACGGATGGAATGGATTACCTACGGGGGACTAGACAAAATGGTAAAATTTTGCTTATTTTTCAGGATGATTTACGGAGATACATCCCACTCAGCACGTTCGGATTCTACCCGGGAGGGGTGCTGGACGTGAAGGTTTCCAATTTCATGGTCATTCCTCACACCGAGGGTAATATTGTGAGTATCGAAATCCGTGGCGTTTTCGTTGGATGAGAAAATTGAGGTGGAAAACTTTTTTGCTTTCAGTACGGACTTTCGCTGGACAAAACCCTATCGGATGCGATGAATCCCTACTTGGATACCCACCAGGATAATTGCATCCTTCACGAGCCGATCAGTTCGCTCCGGAGTGGACCGATACTGTTTTTCATTATGGATCTGAAGCGTGAAGTGTATGTGGCAGAGATTTTCGTTTTAATTGTTTGGGGGAAAGTTTAATCATATTCGCGTTTCTCAACAGCGTTTATCTAAATTGTTCGAGCGAATGGCAAAATACGCACATCTACAAGAACGTCAACCAAATTCCTCCAATGCGCGGAAAGCGTCAGTCCTTTGCCGCGGTCAGTGATTCCAAGTCGATGTACATGCAGCGGAGGAAACGACAGGGTACTACTTTACTATACCTTTTAGGTTTGCTGGAGAGTTTATAGCTATTCTGTAATTTCAGCAAATGATTTGATTTCCGTTTGCCGCAACTACTCTTTGACTTTGCACTGCGGGAAGAATGATCTACCGTTTAAGGTTTGCAGCTTCAACGTAAGGGATCGGCTGGGAGTCATAGTTGAAGGTGTATTACCTAATTTCCTCTTTTTACAGTTTGCCATGGAAGTCTCGAGCAAAGCGGACGAAGGCCTGTATAATCTGTACTTCCACAGCTGTCCGAACTACGACATAAATAGCCTGTACTCGCTGCAGTTCGATGTCGATATCGAGGAGAAGAACGGCCAAAATTATCTATCAGCCGGAGAAATGCCCCTGCCTGCGTTATACTTTATGATGTCGCTGCTGTTCTTCCTGTCCGGGCTGTTTTGGGTGTTCATTTTGAAGAAGAGCAAACATCCCGTCTTCAAGATTCACTACTTGATGGCGGTGTTGGTGTTTTTGAAATCTCTCTCGCTGCTTTTCCACGGAATCAACTACCACTTCATCCAGACCAAGGGCGAACACGTCGAAGCGTGGGCCATCCTGTACTACATTACCCATTTGTAAGGCTCGTCCTGTTCTCTAAACGAACTCCAATAACATTAGTGATTTATCTCTAGGCTAAAAGGTGCCGTCTTGTTCATTACAATCGTCCTGATCGGCACCGGGTGGACCTTCATCAAGCACATCCTAGCCGATAAGGATAAGAAGCTGTTTATGATAGTGATTCCGCTGCAGGTGTTGGCCAACGTGGCGGAGATAATCATTGCCGAGAGCGAGGAAGGCGACAAGGAACACAGCACGTGGCGGGACATTTTCATCCTGGTGGATTTGCTGTGCTGCGGAGCGATTCTGTTCCCGGTTGTGTGGTCCATTAGGCATCTGCAGGAGGCGGCCGGAACGGATGGCAAGGCGGCGATTAATTTGCGAAAGCTGAAGCTGTTCCGGCAGTTCTACATCATGATCGTGTGCTACATTTACTTTACGAGGATTATAGTGTACTTGCTGAAGGTAAGTACCTACCTGGTAGAATTCACTCCGGCTTGGTCACAGGCGAGTTGTTGCGCCGAAAAGGGTTGGGTTGGGTTCGAGCACAGAAGGGGAAGTGCAAACAAATCGGTGAATCAAAAAGTGGTACGTTTCATGCTCAAACAAGCGATGCGTTGTGGTAGTGTTCCACACAGTGTGCGCACTCACATTATCATAGTATGCTGCCTATCTTAACTGCAGGTAGACGATACCTTGTACCGCTAGGTGCGCTAGTGTTCGCTTATGAAAAGTGGAGCCACTTCTGTTCTGTGGTTCGATGCTTTACTCGCGAGTTGATTGCATCGGTAAATATGACAACAGAGGAGTCCATTGTTTTAGGACAAGCGATGAATCAGCAACCTCGATGAACAAACTTTTCACACAGAGGCATGTGCAACCTTGTTCATGGAACAGGTAATCGATTTAATCTAATCGTACTTATGTGCATTTTGTGAAATATAAGAAAACATCTTCTGCAAACAGCGCAGAGCGTGTTCGTCTTGGGGAATGAACCGAAAATTCAAAACGCTTTTGGCGAATTTGTTTTTTATCCAGGTTGGAATCAGTTCCAGCCCAGTGCGAAACCGAACTTTTTGTCAGTGCGAACCTCTTCTTTCTCTTCATTCCTTTATTTACGGTCGGTCTCTGTTCCGCAATCTAGTTTTAATCACCGACGGACACCGATTGCCATCCATTGACGGCAATCGAATGTGCAGGAAGGCAGCTTCCACACCTGCGTAGGATATCGCACCCATTCAACGCACATGGGTCGGGACCAACGGCTTTGCTTCCCCCTTCCGTAGGAAGACGTGACCAGAGATTGTTATGCCTCAGAAAAATCCCATCGACCTCAGCTGGGATTGAACCCAGACCCATTGGGGTGAGAAAGCAGTCACACTTCCCACTACACCACCGGCGCCGTTAGAAAACAGGCACACTCAATCTTAATACCCGATCTAGGTTGGAACTGAATCAAAAACAAATTCGGTATAAGTAGCCGTTGCTTACACGGCGAATGAGAACGACTCAAATTTGAGTTTAGTTCACTCATAATCGACAAAAGTGCAGGAACTCAGCGATGAGTTTCCAGTGGAAAACCTAAAAAATCTGCCGGAAAATGAGGTAATTGACGAAAATTTTATTCAGTCTCGGAGTAGTACCAATAGACTGAGTGAATCCAATCTTTACTTTTCTCAAAGTCGGGAATTTTTCCCTGGAAACTCCTGGAAAAACCTGGGAAAACTTGAGGCAAATTAACTCATCGCTGAGTTCCTGCACTTTTGGCGGTTATGAGTGAACTAAACTCAAATTTGGGTCGTTCTCATTCGCCGTGTAAATTTCCGATGTTATAATTTGCCTAAAGGTAGGCTATAGCCTATGAACCAACAAAACGAAACGCTTAAATTTCTGAAATTACAATGCACCTAAAGGTATACTCATCTTCGCTGAACTCAGCGCGTAAAATGTCACTCAGGACGAAATTCACCCTAATGAAAAAAAAAATCAGTCAACATTTCAAAGAGGCGTAACTGCTTTTGTAAACAATGGCTTTAGACGTCGTTTTCTCGCAAATGAACGCTCACTCCAAGTTAACAATGCTAGCTAATAGAGGGAACATTCCTCTACCTGTTGGTGCCATTTAGTTTCCATGAGTGAGCTTGTATTCGCAAGAAATCAATGGCTAAAGCCATTGTTTACAAATGCAATTACACCCCTTTGAAATTGCTTATTCTGCTTTTAATCATCTCAAATGGTTCGTTGGGATGTGGACTGTTCCCGCATTGTTGACTTTCCTTGATAAAATCGTACCGCCTCAGCCATATTGATATGGTCAACTAAATATCGCATCTTTCACTTTCTCTTTCTGCAGATCACGGTCGCCTTCCAATACGCCTGGTTGGACGAGATGTTCAAGGAAATGGCAACGTACGTGTTCTTCGTCCTGACCGGATACAAATTCCGTCCGGTATCGCAGAATCCGTACTTTTCGATGCACGCCGACGACGACGACGATGACGACGAAGTGGAAATGTAATTCCCTCTCCCGCACGCCCTTTGTTTGTTCAATAATAATTCGCTCAATGTTCCCCTTTCAGACTCACCCAAACCGGCCTAACCGAGAGCATCAGCAAGGTGACAAACCGTTCGCAACCGGTCGGTACCATGGTCCACGAATCGAACGAAGAGGAACGGGAGAACTTGATCAGTAAACGAGAATCGTCCCACGAGTACGACTAAGCTTCGGTTCAGTCTTAGCTACGATATCTACCTTTGTAATTATTTATAGAAGTACCTACTTGCTAACTATTATTACTTACAACGGCCCAAACGGGCGTATAAATTAAATTCGAATTGTGTAGGAGGAAAATTGCTCACCGCAATGAAGCGACACATTTTAGTTGGTTGGGCTTCGCAAACGGTAGAAGGAACTGACTTTTGTTTTTATTCAATAGAAGGGAGAAGTTTCCTAATGTTTGTTTGAGGCTTCTTCTGTGATCTTGTGTTTTGAATGCATGCGCTAAGTAGGTTGAAGTAGTTATGTGCGGTATGTTCTGAGTTTTAAATTAATTAATTTTTAACCTCCACCTATTCGAAACCGTATAAACCGGTCTGCTTTCTGAATAGTCCTCATATGCAAACATTGGAATGAATAAATATATACTTATTATATACCTAGTAGTTTTAGGATGTGACCAAAAACCAAGCAACAAAATAAGAACGTTTTTTGATAATTTTCCCAACTCACATAAAGAAATAAAAAAAAAAAAAACACATACAGAGCTAGTAGACTTGATAATCTAGGATCTATGAATTGCATAACTAAATGATAAACAAAAAAAAAAACAACTGTGACATTGTAGAGAAAACCAAGAGAAATTCACCTTCCCCTCCTCCTTAGATAGATAGCTCCGTGCGCTCCGTGTCAAAGAAGGGTCGATTTTTTGGATCACGTGAGTTGACGATGATAGCAGACAAGATTGCTGATTAATGTGTATAAATAATGAATAAACTGTATGACATTTCACTAAATAACTCATGGCATTTGTGTAGCTGGTTTTCGGCCAATTTGAAGAACTGCTCCCTTTGAAAAGTTCACTCGAACTGCAACCGTTAATGATGAAGATTACCGGAAATCTGGTTGACTGCTTTGAGATGGACGACGAACATTGTTGCTGGCTCTGTCGGTATTATTTCGCGCTCGGACACCCGCCCGACGGATGTTCGCCATAGGAAATGAGAATCTCCACCGTGGGCGGTTAGTGGCGTGGGGTAATGGGAAAAGTTTTGCATGCCAGGCCAACCGATGGACGAGCGCAATTGTGCTGCTGCTGGTTTTTTTTATTCACATTAAGAACATGTGGCAATGGCAATGTACAGCATTAGTGAGAACTTCAGGCAAGTTGACGTTTGGAAATTTATCAAATAAAAGCGTGATGAAGGCCATATTACTCCGTATTACTTATTTGTTATTGTTATTGTGCCATGCCGGAGGGGGCATTGAGCCTGGTCGCCAGTGTAATGTTTATTTGTTTATTTGTTTATTTGTTATGGTTGCATCAACATACTAGAAATAGTCCCAATGATGTGTTGTAAAAAAGTACAGATTATACAGACGACATACATATACTACAGTTACTACAGTTACAAACGAAAATAACTTGGAAAGCATTGTCAAGTTACTAAAAATTTATAAGTCTTAAATTTTACACTTAGCTGTTGGGCATCAAGCGCCTTCGGTCAGCAAAAAAGGCAGAGAATCTTCGGCGAAGCATATTCCGTGTCAAGTGGAAATCGAACATCGACGCTACTCGGTTGAACACTAGCTGCAAGCCGTAAATAGCGCTCCCTATGCTATAATTAGTTCGAAGAAGTGGAAGTCTCAGCATAAGACTGTTGCGTAGTGATCGAGGTTGAACATTAATGTTCACTTGTTGCAGAATTGCTTCGCAGTCAATTCTTCCTTGCAGAGTATCGGCGACGGTTAAGGCTCTGAAAACATCTCTTCGGATACGTAAGGGCTCGATATTGATCAATTGGCAGCGATTCTCGTAGCTTGGAAGACGAAGTGGGTATCTCCAAGGCAGCTTACGGAGCGCGAAGCGAAGAAAACGTCGTTGAACAGATTCAATTAGCTCGGCCCCATTATTGTAGTTCGGGCTCCAGACAGCAGAGCAGTATTCCAACGTAGATCGTACGAGAGAGCAATAGAGCGATTTCAAGCAGTAAATGTCCGTGAAGTTCTTAGTAATCTTGAAGACAAAGCCAAGCGTTCTGGACGCTTTGTCGACGACATACGATATATGGTGTGAGTATGTCAGCTTTGAGTCTAGAAAAACGCCTAAGTCTTTCACGCAGTGCACCCGTTCGATAGTCGTGGCTAGTAGTTTGTAGTTGAAAATAATCGGTTGTTTCTTGCGTGAGAAAGTAATAACTGTACACTTAGCTGGGTTGACCACCAGTCGGTTTAGACTACACCAGTCAGCAAAGATGTCAATCTGATTTTGGAGAGAACGGCAGTCGGCGAGTGAGCGGATGCGCAGAAAAACTTTCAGATCGTCTGCAAACGATAATCGTGGCTCTGTGATAACATGGTGAACGTCGTCGAAGTAGAGGAGAAATACCAATGGTCCCAGATGGCTGCCCTGAGGTATACCGGACTTTGCGCAGAAGCTTGCTGAGCGACAAGTACCCAAAGTTACTGTCAATTGGCGCTCCGTGAGGTATGAACGAAACTATCTCAAAAGATTTCCACCGATCCCTAGCCTATCAAGCTTAGCGATCGCAATTTCGTGGTTCAGCTTATCGAAGGCTGCCGTAAGATCTGTGTAGATAACGTCCGTTTGGGTCCGAGCAATCAAACTGTCTGTGATGTAAGACGTTAGGCACAGCAGGTTCGTAGTTGTGGAACGCCCAGTTATGAATCCGTGTTGATCTGTACTTAGATATTGCTTGCAATGCGCATTTAGGGACTCTATGACAACCAATTCAAAAAGTTTTGATACAGCACTCAGCGATGTGATTCCCCGGTAGTTGTTTACGTCGCGTTTGCTTCCCTTTTTATGAACAGGAAACATATCCACAGTCTTCCAGCAAGACGGAAAGATGCCGCTGGAAAGAGAGAGCTGGAATATGCGGCGCAGTGGATCTAAAAGACAAGTGATGTTCTTTTTAAGAATAATCGACGGAACACCATCGGGTCCAGCCTTAGTTGAAGTCTTAAGTTTAGATGCTGCTCTAGAAATCGTATCTGTAGTGGCTTCGACCATGCTGAGCGTTTGGTTGATCAAAGGAACATTACTGGCCGCGGAAGTAATGATATTAGCGGAGAGTTGCTCGGCTTCAAACACACTAGCAAATTTGGCTGAGAACAGGTTGCACATGTCTTGTTGATTTCCAGCAGTTTCACCATTAAAAATCATGGAAGAGGGTAAGCCGAATTCCCTGCGTTGCTCATTTACGAAGTTCCAGAAGTATTTCGGGTGTGATTTTAGCCGCCGTTGAATCCTCCTTTGATAGCGTTGAAAACAGAGACGACTTAACCGCTTATACTCGTGGTTGAGTCTGACATAGTAGCATTTCAGTGGCAGTGTGCGGAGTTTAGTAAATCTTCTGAGAGCAGCCTTCTTAGTTCTTTTCAACGAGCGAAGATCTTTCGTCATCCACGGAACGCGAGAGTCGATATGGATGATCTTTTTGGAAACGTGTCTGTCAATGACATATGCCAAGACGTGAGAAAAGGTTTGTGCAGCAATGTTGACGTCTACAGGATCTAGAATATGCTCCCAATCTAGATTAGACAGCACATGGACGATACTGCAATGGTCAGCTCTACGGAAGTCATATGACACAGCGTTTGGAGTGCTGGTGAAATCATGGACAATATTATTTTCGATCACGATGCACTACCTTGACTAAAGGTTCGGGTGCCGTGGAGAGGAAAGGAGCTGTATCACGAGCACTCACAAAGCAGAGATCCAGGGTGCGGTTGTTTTCATTCAACAGGCCATGTCCATGTCCAGGAGCTGGATGGTTCCTACGTGGAAAGATGAACGCTCGTGATCAGGACAAAAGAAACCACTATGGGTTGGAGTCCATGCAATGTCCGGTAGGTTAAAATCGCCAAGAACAATAACTTCGTCGGAAGAGCCTGCTTTGTCTGAAGCGGCCAAGACGGATCGCCAATGTGCGTCAATAAGCTCCAAGTCACGGGTTCGATCTGGAGGAATGTACACTGCATAGAGAAGCAATTGACGATCACCAAGTTGAATAGCCACCCACATTTGTTCAACCCTGTTCCAGGAATCGTCCTCGATAACTTCTGCTTTCAGCTTGGAATTAACTGTGATAAGGACGCCTCCCCCAGTAGTTTTCCTACTATTATTCGTGTTTCGATCGCAGCGAAATATTTCGTAGCCAGCACCAAAGACATAGTTTGAAATGGTTCGATAATTGAGCCATGTTTCGGTCAAAACTAAAATGTCGTAGCAGTGATCCATGATAATCTGCCACGAGGTCGTTCATACCGCCAACGTTCTGATAGTAAATCGTTATGTCCGACCTCCGCTGTTCGGGAACAACGGAAGGTTCAGCGTGTAGTTGCATGTGGGAGCTGGTAGATGTCATTTGACGGAGAAAGGATGTTCGAGTAGGGTCGCTGGAAACCAAGATATTTTCAAGCGATAATATATTCGTCGGTTGATCATACTTGCCAATAACAGGAATGTGGAAGACCCCTTCTCCCATCTCAAACGCAGGGCCGGGACGACTGCTGGTTGCTGGCAGGAGGGGCTCGACTGCGATGAGTGGAATAGGGGCTTCCTCAGGGCGGACGGCAAGAATGCGTCCCGGAGTGCAGTTGACTGTGGTGGCTCCATGTTGCCGACTGGCAGATGTTTGAGGTGAGTTGAAGGCACTGGAATTATGATCATCATCAGGCAGTGAAAGTTCGCTAGTAAGTGTGTACTTGCCTAATATAGCAAGCTGGGAGACCCTCAATCCACATCTAAACTCAGGGCCAGGACGACTTGGATGAACGCTGGCTGCAATAGGCGCGACTGATTTAGAGGAACTGGTCACTCCCAAAATGCTTTCTACGTTGCATCCTGGTTGAGAAGTAATTTGCCTCAATAGATTTTCAGAGGGCATCACCGAAAATAATTCGCTTTGGACCGGGTCCAGAATAACCTGAGTATGGGAGAACTCATCACGCAACGATAAACTTAAATCACAGAGGTACTTGCCTATGCAAGCATGGTGGAAGACCCCCTTTCCACCACCAACTACAGGGCCGAGACGACTATGTTGAACGAAGGCGGCGGTAGGCGGGACTGTGTTGGGGCGATTGGGGGCTTCCTTCAGACTTTCTACGGTGCGTCTCGGGGGCATTGTTGATTCGTCAGATGAGGGGATTAAGGGGTGACTGTTATACTGGGTGTACCTAAAGGGGCTGGCATATCGAGAGGTGCTGGTGTCCCAAACGGTGTGCCCGTTGGAGAGCCACCCGGAATAGTCTCTGGAACAGCAGGGAGTGCTGGGATATCAGGAGGTAGCCACACATTGTTTTTCGCCTGAGTATCCTCGAATTCTCTGTAAACAATCCCCTGTGGCCAAGTTTCAGGGTTCAAAGCGTTCTCTTTTAGTTTCATTGGAATGCCGACCTTGTAGGAGATGAAGTTCATCGATAGTGGGTCGGTGCCTTTTTTCACTAAAGAGACGACTTTAACTGGTTCAGTCGTTCGCAGTCCATCACGAACAAGTTTCTCAACCACATCTCTCTTAACACTGGGGTGAAACCGGGAAAGGTAAACCCAAAACAGGCTTGATGGAGCATTGACAGCGAGCGTATCGCTAGTTCCAATGACTCTTCTTCCAGTAGTCGGTTTAGTCGGTGTTTCCGTATCACCTCGACGGCGTTTTGAGGGGCGATCATGATTCTGTCTAGCAGATGTACCTGGGGTAGCAGCATTAACTATGTGAGTGAGCTGAGCGACCTGATTGTTGTTTTTGGCCATTTCTGTTTTCAGCTCGGATAA